GCATTTAGGAGGGCTTTCATTCATGGCATCACCTAAGCCAGAGATGAATGGACAGCACAGAACAGCTCTCATCAGAGTGTGGAAGACAGCAGCCAAGTGAGCAACCTGCCTGCCTGTTCTGTTTACCGTTAAGTTGATAACTGCAGGTGGGCAAGAGGTTTCCTTGGTGCTGTACTGAAAGTTTCTGCCACATATTTCAACTCTTGTCTTTGAGTTGGCAGGAAAATAAATTGCTTGGAAATTTAGAAGTGGAAAAAATCGGATAAATGTTCCTGGGTTGGGTTTGCATTTCCTGCGCTTACCTTACTCAGGTGGAGGTTGAGGAGTGTGCATCACTGCCCCACTGTCATTGTACAATCCTGATTCTGGTAGTCTGTCTCCCCTTCAGTTTTCCACAGTTCAGTTAAAACCCAGGGGAAGGCTTGGGGAGATCCTTCTTCCTGCAGGTTCTTTTCTGGAAGATAAGGATTGGGCAAAATGCAATGTAAAACACTCTGAGAGTGGGATAGACGGACACAAACATTTTTCATGGGAGAAGAAGCCTTTTAGGAAGTTTTAGGAAAGGTGTTTGCCTCAGCACTAGCTCCGCCTCTTCCCTGGAGCTGGACATGAAATGGGCAAGGGCAGAGGCAGGAAAGGCAGAAAAAGAAGAGAGCTAGAGACAGGGACAGGAGATAAACAGAGGGGTGAGGGGTTATGGTGGGGAGAGGAATAGCAAGACAAAGCAGTGGGGATGGGGAGTGTGAGGGAGCAACAGGGAAAGGTCAGGATGGGGCTTTTCAGCCTACCCAGCAAAACCTGATCTGCAGCCTAGTTCAGGAACAGGAAGGAAATTCTGATGTCCTGAAATCTTTTAACTAAAGAATTTAGTTTTGAGAGATCAAAGAATGTGGTTAGTGGATGCCACTGGAGGTCCTCATGCGTTTCATGGTGCTCATAAGTGCTGCACTGAAGAACCATGTTGTAAAAATCTTGAGTAAGAACGCTGCCTTAGAAAGCATTTAACTCCTTTAAAAAGGGAAAGATTTAATGGGAGTTCTCAATCTATCCTTTCTTCCATCCATCTGTTCTCTATCCTTCCAATGATGTCATGTTAGTCTTTTAGCTGTCCAAAGGATGTGGAGAATCCATTTAAGTTGGCCCTGCTTCAAATTCCAGGGGGTGGGTAGATAGTTCAAAAGAATACCCATATCTGTAAATATTAAAAAACTTTCCATCATAATGTTTATCTACACTATCTCCTCTCAAAAGAAAGCAGCCATTGGACATTCCAAATGCATGAATAAGAAAAGCATTCGATGTACTGCACCTCCAGTAATTGGCCAATTTGGATCCGGTGCTTTGGTTCACCAATACGGATATTTATAAACATGGATTGTGGGTCAGTATAGCTGTCCAACCTAAATTAGTACTCCCAGTAACAAAGAAAGCTCAGTAAAAGCAATAGGACTGAACCTGGATTCTAACAAATGTTTCAGTTCCACATGTTGCCATTCAGCCATAGCTGGCAAATCGTATTTAGCATGCAAAACAGCGAAGGCAGGAAGTTATCACTGGGACCTACAAACTGATCCAAAGTAAAAATCTGCCTGCGCATCCAAGTCTGCCAGACAAACATTTCCTTGCCTATCATTTATTGGCAGGATTTCCAATTAATAGATTTCCTCATATGGTTAAATCAAACTACAGTTGATCTGAAAGATTGTTCCAGACCACTCTTTTCACTGTAGCTATAGGAGGCACCCTATGCAATGCAATCCATTTGGGAAGATGATCCAAACACGAAGAGTCACAAACTGACCAGGGAGAAAAGCCTAATCTGAGTGGGAAGGAACAACATTTAGTAAAACACATCAAATATACCCAATAATATAAAGAGAGATCAGTGAAGTCAAATCCATTATCTCTAATGGAAAGTTTGAGTCATTTTCTAGGATATTCATGGAGTGGAACTCAGTAAGATTTATGAAGCAAAGCATTAAGTGTCTGAAATACTTGCCTGATATCAATAGAGGAAAACCATGTAAAACATATGCAATTTGAGGAATTCCATTCATTTAAGCCTCTATTTCTGCATGTCTCTGGCTTCTATTAGGAGAAACAAAATGCAGAGTTAGATACTGTTCATCTCTCCTGAACTGTGTGATTTAGGATTTGCCACTCTGTTTTAAGCTGTTTTGAGCAAAACCTGTTCCTATGGAAGCCACATGGTTTCATTCAGTCTGGGACTTTTAGGCAATTCAAGGTTTTCAAGTAGAATTCAGGGCAGGTCTGACCTAACTGGTTATTTTAAAAGGATGAGGAAGCCCTACCTGTCCTTGGCTTTCTTCAATCCATATGAAGAAAGGAGCACACAAATAAATGTGTAAATAAATTACAACTGTTGTTTCTAGACTATAATAGGAGGCAGAAACTCCATTTCCCATAAGGCTGACTTGCTGGGACTCTTCCCTTTCGCAGCAGCCCTGCCTTCTGAGGTAGGTGGGTTTAAAAAGCAAACTGAAGTTTGCATTGTCCCAGATGGCAATTTTATCCCCCAACAAGAATTACAGTTATACCAAGGAAAAAGGATATACCAAGATCTGACCCAACAGAGTGGGAAACAACCAACAAACATGGAAAAGTGAATGGGGTATTTTAAATCAAAGAATTCAGCTTGGTGTATGTTATCTTGTAGAAAGAGTTCCAGAATTAGAATCACGCGAGGCTGCTAAGAATGGGAAAACATGTGTGCACATTTCCTGTGGACTGTGTCAAGAATATATAGAGGACACAAAGAAACACTCCAAGAATGGTACTTTCCCAGTTACATGATGAAGAAGGTAGATTAAAAAGATTTATGTTTCACCTTAGCTGAAAAGTTCATGGAGTAATAAAAGTTCAGCAGACAGTGGTGCTGCACTTGGAGAAAGGCCGTGATAAACATCCCTCACCAAAGACTCAAAATGCAGAAAATTCAAACTATATCTGTAGTTATGCCCTTTGTGAGTCTACCTTTCCATTTTATGGCCATTCAGATCCTTGGCCACTCTTGCTGCCAAGCACTTAGTGGGACTTATGTTGAATTACCCCCTTGGTGCCCCCCTTGGGTATCTCAGGGGCACCCCAGTGGGATGACTTGCCTACCGCTTCCAGCTGCAATGATGGGCTGGGTTTGACTCACTGTGTCTTTTTGTCTTTTCACCCCTTTTCCCTAGAAATCGCAAAATCCAGCTTCACAGCTGGGTTTTTTTAGCTTCCATCTTGAAATCCACTGACAGTCTGTTCCAAGGGCTCAAGTGCACCTTAGAGGGACTTTCTGTAGTTGGCAGGCATTTTTGTATGTTTTTGCCCAGAGTGTGTGCGCAACATGTGTTAACTTAGCCACCCTTGTGAACTGTGCTGGATTGCCCTTGCACAAATACAGGAATTGGGACCCATGGTTGGCCAATGTCAGAGGGGTTGCCTGCCTGCTACCGTAGTATCAACTCTGCCCAGTATCAGTGCTGGACACTGACTGAAGGATGGTCCAGGGAGGGCATTTTTCCCTTTGATTTGTCTTGAGAGCTGTCAAAAGGCAAGTCGTCAAGGAAAAGCACAAAGGTCCCAAAGAGTGAACTGTGTAGGAAAGTAGAAAAGTGCATCCCACTCCCTTTTCTGAGGAAACTGAGTTTTGACAGCTAGTTGTCAAAGATTCTGCTGCAGGGAGGTTTCATGTGGACATAGAGTTGTATGTATCCCAGTCACCAAAATCCCATTGCTTTGACAGCTAACTTGTGGCACAGGTGCTGACCTTGAGAAAGCTTGGCAAAAGCAATGAGGGGTTTTTGCCACAGTTGCCAAAAAGCTCACTCACTGGTTCCTGGGACACCCAATAGGGTGAGTCCCTTGAATTCAGGAGACATGATAACCCATCATGAGTGCAACAAGCTCTACCTTTGTATTTATTTATACAGGCTTATGTATACCACCCTCCATAGACAGTTTGACTCTCAGAACAGTCGAGTCATGTGCTGTCAAGCTGGTTTGTTGAGGTCTGGATGGGGATTTAAACCCCATGGCAACCTATGATGAGTTCTTGTGTTGAATGCTGACCCTGTCAGTGGATGGGACAGCAACTAGTACAATAACACAAAGAATTGACACAGTGCGAAACTTAGCTTTGAATGGGATTGGTAAACCCTATTATGATCTTTGGCCTGCTGATGTCCATTTTTTTCCCAAGCAGTGACTGGAAACAACCTCAGTCTGTTCCAGAGATTTATGTTCAGTGGGATTATGAAATAAACAAAAAATATGTCAGACTTCTGGACATTTTAGTCAAATTTTAAATTCCAAGAGTCTTTAAATTACAATCCCTTATTATTAAAACACATGTTTTGTGACATTTATTTAAATGTGTTTATTTGAAGTGAAGCTTAACAATGCCCTTTCACATGATCTTAAAATGTTCTTTTGAGTTCACTCCTCCTAGTGAAAATTCTTTTTAAAAAGCCCTGGTTGCTAAGTTATCAAAATGGTGGCAGGAATTAGCTGTTCTGACATCCCATGCATACAAGCCTTTCTGTCCCTTGAGAATTTTATTTTCTCTTTGCTTTGTTAATCTTTCTTCAAGTGGAGCTTAACTGCACATTTTCCCCCAGGGTGGGGAATCTCAGGCCAGGATTCCAGCCTAGCCCTTGAGAGATTCCAGGGGCTACAACCCTTTTCCCTCAACCACAGACCATTTGGTGTTTTCCTGGTTTCTGTACAGCTTTTATTCCCACAGTAAAAGGATGAAATGCTTCTTGTTAAGGCTTCACACTGGCAGAAAGAGCTTTAAGCTAAAATTTGCTGGTTTCCTTTGCATTTGTGACTCTGTCTTTTTTCTTGTTAGCCCTATCTGCCACTGGACTAGAATCCTCAAGAGCACCTCCAAAATTAAGCCCAGCACTTGCACCCAAAGAGGTCCTTCCCCTGTTGTACCCTATGCAGCTTTTGCTGGACAGTAGTCTAAATTTCCTGTTTATTTTTCAGCACAGAAGCAACTGCTACCATCATGGCCGAAAACGTTACCACCATTTCCAGTGTCACAGCCACCGGGAAATCTGAGATGATTCTGTTCACTCAGCAAAGTGCAACTGCCTACAATTCCTCCTGTCCTTGGCCAGAGGAATGGAATTGGCTGCTGCAAATCCAGCCCATATTCCTTTGGCTCCTTGCTGTTGTTGGAATAGTAGAAAACATGTTCGTCCTCAGCATTCTGTGCCTCCATAAGAGCCGCTGCACAGTGGCGGAGGTCTACTTGGCGAACTTAGCAATGGGTGACCTCCTGTTACTCTCCGGTTTGCCTTTCTGGGCTCTCTATATAGACAATAATTTTAATTGGCCCTTTGGGCTCACCTTTTGCAAAGTCATCAATACGATCCTTTATATGAACCTGTACACTAGCATTTACTTCTTGGTCATGGTGAGCATTGATCGCTACCTGGCCTTGGTGAAAACCATGTCTCTGGGACGTTTGCGCCGACCTTGGTGTGCCAAATTGAACTGCCTGATCATCTGGATCTCTGCATTGCTCCTATGTACTCCTGTCCTGATGTTCAGGTCATTAGCGTATATGGCAGATTCTAACACTACAGTCTGCATCTTGGATTACCCATCCCTTGATGTGTGGATAATTCTCACAAACACTTTGCTGAATACCGTGGGCTTTCTGATGCCTCTCTGTGTCATTACCTTCTGTACCATTCAGATCATCCAAGCTTTACGAAACAGCGACATTCAAAAGATCAAAACCTTTCAGAGGGAGAAAAGAGCCACCATCCTGATTTTTGTTGTCCTTCTTCTATTTATTGTCTGCTGGCTTCCTTTCCAGCTCACCACATTCTTGGCAACATTGCATCAAATCAAGGTTTTTTCTGGTTGCCCTGCTGAACAAGCCATCGATGTGGCTTCCCAGATAGCCACCTATTGCAGCTTCAGCAACAGTTGCCTCAACCCAATAGTGTACGTCATTGTTGGTAAACATTTCCGAAGAAAATCTAAGGAAGTCTACTCAAATATGTTTCTTCGGAGACGTAGCAAATCACCATCTGTCCAAATGGGGACTACCATGGAAACTCTCCGAATGTCCTTTTCAGTAGAACAACAAAGGAAAAAGTCTGCTGTTAATGTGCTATGATATAATCATTGTCTTGGTCCTGTAGGAAAGACAAAACCTTCATATGTAGCAGGGAGTTTTAGATGGTGCCCCCATTTTCGAGAATGCAGCCTCATTCATTACCAACGGCACTTTGGAAATGATGACATTAGTTGCAACATTTGCATAGACCAAAGGTGGGGAGAAGAATGGGATTGACTGGTAGCTTTCTGAATGGTAATCCCCTAAAATTGGATTGCTGAAAGAAAGGCTTGGAGAAGACCAGGAGTGGAGCTTTTTGTGAATGGAATTGTGAGCTTCATTCTAGCATTGATTCCCAGTTCCTGGTCTGAGCATATGCTCAGAAGACCACTCTTTCTTCATTACTAGAGTATGTCCACCCAACTGAACCACAGTATTCCCCCTGGCTCAAGTTCTTGGATCTCAGGGTCATAATTAAAAAATGAAGTACTCAAGATAAGCCATGCTGGATCACAAGGGGGCCATCCAGTCCTGCCATTCAAATGATTAGCTTAACCTCTACATGTAGCCTCAGCATATCTTTAGCACAACACCCACATATGAGGATGTTTCTTTCCCAGAGTTGTTCATTCCGAGAGGGTTTGCGTATGTGCTTAAACATTATGTGCAGATGGTGAATGGAACAAATGTAGGGCAAGGAGTGTGGA